CAATGATCAATGTGTTTGTGTAACATTCATTAGAGTTCTACTCTCCACCTTCCCTTGCTTAGTGCCATTACAAGTATTATTTACAATTGATGTTTAAGTAATAAATATGAATTTGTTTAAGCAAGGGAACATACAATGGCAAACGAAAAATCACTACAAACCCTCCTCGGGCATACTACATTATGAACTCATATTCAAGGTGTGTTTGGCATAGCAAAATGAAGGAAATATTCATTGGGTCATAGACTTAGAAAATTATACTTTTATTATTTTTTTAAGCTATATATACTAAATATCAAAGTGTTTGAATTATTTTCATCTAATTTCTCCTTCGTACCTAGAAAGAAAAGAGTGTTTTCATGGAAAATCCATAAAAATTTGGTAAGAATTAAGAGTTGTAGGAGCATCAAAATGAAATTGCATTAATAAGTTCTACCAAAAGATCATAGAGGTAATAATGGGCTTAGCATTCCACCACGTACTTGCTTATCATGAAACTAAGTTAAAATTAGATTACATTAATGAGTTCTATGAGAAACCGAAGTACTAGTTAGCATTATAAATTAGTTCCACCAGAAAATCGTAGGTGTAATAATGTCTCAAACCACTCAGGCCCACCTTCAACATATTAATAATCTAACTTATTAGTACTCTTTTGTTTTGTTTTTGTTTTTTTTTGTTTTTGTTTTTTTACATTGTTTGGTACTTTTGTCACATCAAGTTTTTGCTGAAGTTTTTAACAAGCTATTTACTGTACAGATAGCCATTCTAGGGGTGTTTTGTAAGTAAAATAACATTTTGATAGACTTGTTAGATTTCCACAATTTTTTGATCTGGATTGGTATCTTTAAAATATGTTTATCAACTAATTGTTTATCCCGCTATATATGAAAAAATGGGAAAGGACAATGACAACAGCCATTCGTTGAGACGATTATTACTAAGACAATGGAAAAGATATGGTTGGCAATATAAAAAAGTTCGTAGTCGATTCAATTAAATATCTTCTTTGCTAATCAGTTGAAGAGGACGTAAGTGAACAATTTTCATTCACAATTTAGGTATAATGTGGACCATCAATTAGAAATTTGTACCTCATGAATTACGTTTTTGAATAGATTGTTTAAAAAAGTTTACTTATTGGCGGTCGAATCCAAAGTAAGAGAAAAAAATTATCCCCATATATTAATATCAATAGTAGAAGTTATTTGAGATTTTTTTTAACGCTTTCATTTGATAGACTTTTGAGATATCTTCACTTAGTTTTAAGAACAAGCCATCACACCATCACTTATTGGGGATGGCGGGAGTTGGAAAAGACAACGCATATACAAAGACCGATGGACTTGTTCTATATCCCATGGAATTTTTCTACATCATTGTTGTTGCTAGGTAACTTATTTAGCTAAGTTGTCACAACATTGTTGAATAGCAATACAACTAGAGGAAGTCACCAAAACTGGTCAACAAAATAGAAATATCTAATCACCAAACACCAGAAAATCAAACTATCTACATCAACTATTTCATGATTTATGTATAAACCATATATCTTGTGATCAGCCTTTCTCATAGCAGGGAAATGGAAGCACAGTGACAAGAAAATGAGAATGATTTAAGAGAAAATAAAGAGTTGACAGAAAATGTTATGGCTTCATAACCTTTTCATAACATATGCATAAACAAAACTTGCCTTATGATTAAACTGGGACACTGTATCAGTCCCATATTTACAGGTTTCTTCAGGAAGGGAAATAGAACCAGATCCAAAAGAGAGTCTTTGCCAATGCCTTCAAGGTAAGAGTGGAGCACTTCTATTTCTTTCTGAATTGGCTGGCATCTTCTGAGACATGCCCGTTCCCTGGAAGACATAGAAAAATTAAGAGATAAATTCTCTGCCAAACATAAACACAACACAATAGAAACTTAGATAAAAAATTTCTTCACTGATTTGAGTTGGACGAGATTTATACGTAAAACCCCTCCCAACAGAAACTTAAATCAAATATTCAGTATGAACAAAACACAAAATGAATGAATTTCCAAGAACAATTATTCGAAAATTAGTTTCAACATTCAGCGTTCAGCATACCTGAATTGGGTACTCCAAGTTGGTTCACAGAAAATGTCTAGCAAAGTGAGTTTTCAAGAGTGAAAGTTGGGTTTTCGTTAGTGAGGGGGTCATTGACGACGGTCGTCGAGCGTTCTCCATTGGGCTATTATGATTCCCTGGTTTAACATTGGGCTATTATTGTGACGCCTCGAACTTAAGCTTCGAGTGTCACGTACTAAACATAAAAACTGTAGCCTTCGTTACATGTAAGTACTTTTAAAAGAAAGTATTACATGTTAGACACTTATTTTCAACTTGGTAAAATATCTCTCATAAAATTTTAATGGCCAGCAGAAGCGCATGTTGAAAAAATTATACTTTACATTTACGGACTCTGCACTGCCATGGTTAGTTGGGGCAGCAAGTTCAATTATTTTTATAAAATTCATTCCAACTCCGTTTTCTACGAAATTTACGACATTAGAAAGATATTTTCAAGTAGTTTTCTAGATTAAAATATAAAAAAAATTTCCAAGATCATATAATATGGGCGTTTTACTGAAAATAGTGAGGTATTGCACAGAAATTTCAGATTTGACCCTTCAAAATTTAAAAATTCATATCTCAGGCTACAGATATCCAAATCGAGTGATTCTTGTGCCCATATTAAGACAACTCAATGAGGAACGCAGCAATATTTTCAAAGTCTCAAATGGACATTTATGGAGTCAGAAATAACGTGTTGAAGTTGACCCAAAAAACTGTCCTATTTCTGCCTTTTTATCACTTGCAAGGGAAAGTAAAAACAAAAAAAAAAAAAAACCGTCTCTTAACATAACATGGTAGATATAATTACATAATTTACTTTCAGTACCATGTTACATCATGTCTTATACATGTTTTTATATAATAACAAAAGCAAAACATATGGAAAGCAGTCAAACAAAACATACAAAATAGAAACTTCGATGTAAAATAATTTTATCCTTGATCCATCATCGATTTTGCCGACTGACTTCCATCAACTCTACAATTATGAATCTGAAAATTTAATATGAAAAACTATGAGTATAAAGAATACTCAGTAAGATACCATGCTTGGATTTAACATGTTAATACTACACAAAAGAAAGCATTCAAACACATACTTGCACATTTCGGCTTGCCGGTGCCCTTCGGACTTGTCCTAAGGCATAAATAGATATCTAACTTTGTGGACTTGTCCACGTCTTTCATATTATGGTTTTCATGCATAACTTAAGCATAAATATTACCATGAAATCCTACCACTTAAGCATAGAAAATATCTTACAATAAAACTTGAAGAAATCTTGGTTGATAAATGAATTGAGAAATGCTAGGCTGGTCCTCTTCTTCCCTCACGTTTTTTGCCCTTTTTAAACAAGTGATAAGCTGTTTTTCATGCAAAGGAAATAAAGGGCAGCGACATTTCTATTTATAAGTGAGGAAAATGATTAATTATGGGTGACACTTCAAGAAATTCAACACGTGTGGGCTGCTTGGTTTCATTTTCTTAAATCCAAAACACCTCATGCATTAGTTAGCCACCTCATGCTTAAATTAAAACACCTCATGCATTAGTTAGCCACCTCATGCTTAAATTAAAACACCTCATGCATATATGTTTCATCAAATTCTCGGCCAAGTGAAGAAACAATGTTTAACTTTAATAATTAGGTGTAAAATGGACATTTATCCCAAACCCCTAATTAACAAATTATTTGGAAAAACTTTTAATAAATCAACCAATGCAAAATTTGGCAACCATAAATAATTTTTGGCCATACTAAATTTTGTAAAGTTAAATTGCCATTCTAAAAATTAAATGAGCACAAAATTTGGAGTATTACAGTTATGATTCAAATGACAGAGGAATGGGAATGAATTCGACAAATGCTTTCGGTCTTCGTCATCGGCGACCTTCGTAACGGTTGTCGTCGATTGGCTAAGCTCTGGTTCAGTGAATGAGAAAGGGGAAAGGGTTTTACACTGTTTGGGCATAATTTGAGTTTCAAATTGTCTAGTTTGGTTTTCTTCTTCTTCTTTTTTCATATTTTTTTTATTTCCATCAATGAGCCCAATTATACTTGACATGTCATAGATTTTGTACAATTTGGAGTCAAGTCATGTCCAATTTATTGAAGGACATATAAGGGATTCAAATTAATTAGAGGGGGCAAAATTGTCCAGAATTGACAATTTCGCAATTACTTTCAAAAAGTGACATTTTTGTAAATGACAACCCAAATTATGACATCCAGTGTAATTTCCACTTTCTTCATATTTGCCATATCATGTGTTTCAATTTTTAAGATTAGTTGCTTAACTCGGTGCTTTAATATTATGTTGGGATTTGAATGGCCTCTTTGATTATGTTCTTTTAACCCAAACTTCCGAGTCCGCCTCCTCAACTCAACTTTTTATTACTTGTTTTATTATCATTTTATCATCGTCTCTTCATGTTATTTTAGAGACGTAATTTTTGGCCTTCCTATTTAAAGAATAATTTAATCACTTAAAATCTAAGGAAAAAATAAGCTGTTTTTGCATGGCTCAAAAAGACAAACACTAAACCATTGATCAAATGCCGGAATCCTTGGAACAATTTCGTAACAAACACCACCCAATCCCCTCCCTCCCTCGTCTTTCTCTCTCTGCAGTCCGAACAACGCAGTTTTTTGTTGTTTGTAGAACCAACCTTAGTTTCCCCGTCAGTCGGGAGAAGAGGAGGGAAAAACAAAACAATCCCCCCTTCTCCCATCCCTTCTCCTCGTCACAAATTTCTAATAAAATCATGTAATTTACGAAACATCACGTCCACTTCACATTGATTTTTTGGTTAGACGGCCAACACCGCCATTGCCATCGCCGCTGCTTGGCCATATCTATGAGAAAGCTTCTTCTTTCTTTCGTTTTCCAAAATGACATGGCATTGCCGCCGGATTTACAGTCGCCTGAATCCTATGTTATATCATTGTCGCCGTCGCCGGGTATATCTCCTTCGGCGTTTGAAGAATTGTATACGAATCCGAACTTTTTTATCCCTCCAGTTCTGAAGGCCAGAAGCAGTTTCGATTTAGCCAGCATTGCCATTATCGCCGCCTTCCTCCTCCTCTCTGTTCTTTCCTTTTTATTCATATTCCACCTTCGCCTACAGTCCCGCAGAATGCAGCATTTACAAGAGTTTAACTCTCTCTGGATCGTGAGATTACTCCTTGTAACATTTGCTTTTCTCTGGGCTGTGAATGAAATTATACGCCTACCAACTGTTCGACGAACTTACCTCGACCCTTTTTTAACGTTAAATCAACAAACAAATCTGTGTAAATTCCATGTTGTTCTTTCTCTTGGATTATACGAACCAGGTTTCTTAATCACCCTTCTTTTCTTGGTTAATGTTTCGATTAAGAAAAAAAACCCATGTCGAATGTGGGCTCTATTGTGTGTGTCCATGGTGTGTTCCCCCATGACATTGATACAGACAGTTCTTGTCTACTTTGCCCCATTGGAGACACAGCTTCCTAAATTCGTGCATGGTAGTTCAATTCTTACAATTGATTTTCAAGGAAACAAAACTGTTCTTTGCACATACCCATTTTTCGGCTGTGTTGTTTTTTTGGTATTTGCAATTGTTTATGCATTAGCTTTCTTGATTTCATGTTGGAGGGTGCTGGACGTTGTGATCAACAAGAGTATTCGTGTACGAATCAACGTGCTGCTTGCGGCCATAATGGTGGCGCTGCCAATGCAAATTATCTGCCTCGGACTATCGTGGTTGTGGCTGCCCGAGGATGACGAGTATGGCTGTGTCGTGCTAGTCATGTTCTTTTGCATCGTCACGTGCATGGTGGTGGGAGAGGTTATATTGATAATAAAGCCAATCACCGATGCCTTGGTGGCCGGGTGTGAGTGTTGTCGGCGTTTCCTTGGCGGATTACGGCTGAGGAGGCCGGTGGAGCAAAGAGAACAAGTGGATCATCAAGAACCGGGTCTATAGCGATGGGCCATGGTCCCTTCTTCCTTTTCCAATTATTTGAGGGCATTGACGTGTATCAATTCATTGTAATTTTTCTGCCCTGTGATCTCATTTGTATAATGTTTCAAATGAATCAGAACAATGTAATTAGGAAAAATTTTGTTCTAAATTTGGAAATAGTGAAAAAAAAAATTAAATAGGAAATAACTGGACTTCCAGCTTTCGTTATTGATGGTTTGTTCTTAAAATATACCAATGCAATCGTGCAAATGTTTCATTTCACCGAGATTAAAATGACTTCTAGTAAATGACAATTTAGCGTCATTTCATTCGCATTTCTCGAAGAGTCAAAATTAAACTTTAATCTCAACCGTACATTCAAAACTATTACTTATTATCAATGCATTAGTGATCCCAGTACAACTCCTACTATGAAGTACCTAAAACATTTACCCAACCCAAAACAATCATATCTAGATCATAATCCTTACAAGCCAAAAAGGGAAATGAACGTTACACAACACAACCGAATTTCTCTTAGTAGTCAAAGAAAACAAAATTGAATTCATATGGGCATGTGTAAAACAAGAAAAAAATGAGAGAGAAAAAACCAAAAATAGATAAAATTTGTCTCCAAACTAAGAAAAAAAAGAGAAATGAATATCAGCCTTGTTAAACAAGGAGAGTAAGTGCATGAAATCTGCTTGTGTAAGTTTGGAAGATCTTTCTTCAAAACCTCCTTGTTTTAATATCAGAAGCTTTTGCATCCCCATCATCCATCCTCCATATCCTCGTCATCTTTCCCTTGCTTTAACAAGCCTAAAACTGTTTCTTTAAAATCAGAAGCTTTTGCATCCCCATCATCCATCTCCATATCCTCGTCATCTTTCTCTTCGTCAGTGTCCATGCTCAAGTCACCGAGAGTGTCTCCCAAAGCAGTGACAGACGTGGCCATTTCTGTAGAATCTGATGCTTGCAAGGTTTTATAGTTCTTCTCTAGCAGTGAAAGGACACTCTTTTGCCTAAATATTGAACCAAGAGTTTTATTTTTTGCAGTTAAAGCAAATCCGAACGAAACCATCCCATTCCTTAAAATTCACCACAGGAAGCGATTTCCTTGGTTCAATCCTGACCACTGAAGAATCAACCTTTGGCGGAGGCCTGAAGTTATTCCTTCCCACTTTTAGCAAGTGGTTTACCCGTGCCAATAGTTGTGTGTACACAGACAGGCGACGGTAAAGGTTGGCAAATTCCCTTTGGAACATTATTACTGCACACCTGAATAATGGGCGATGAGACAATAACTTGAAAGTAAGGGGGGACGAAATTTGATATGGGATATTTGCTACGCAAATGTCAAAGTATGGAAGATTACACTTCAGTGCATCTCCTTGTATAACCTGTGGGAGAAATATTACAACACATGCTCAGTTCTACTACTTATTCAGAATGACGAATAACACATTCCTGATCAGCAGCAAACTAATATTACTGAAATTATACATTAAAAATGTCAAAAATAAACATATTAACACAAGTAGTCTTACCTATCAATATTTTTCCAGTAACAAGAAACTATTTTGAAAACATTAACAGGCCATACATCTTTTGCAGAATACAAATAAGTAATATCATGAAGTGGTAAACACCAATATGGTACTCATATGTAAGATAAATCTGGAAGAAAAGGCAATACTGATTTCTAGGAGGTGGCAAACAACAATTTAATATTTGATATCAATTTTCAACAACAAAATGTCGATATCAATTTTCGCTAATGGCCTTCACTCTTCTCTATAAATTACTCCAAGAAAGTTGAATAGCAACCATGAAAAGAGAGTTGGGAATTCCCAAGAACTATAATATCAATTTCATCAAAAAACATCAACGTCAATTCGGAAAAAGGTCTTTGCTAACATACGGAACCACTTCAAGAATGTCTCACGCAAAAAGAGGGCGAGAAATTCCATGGAGACACTCTGATACTCAAGTTGGTAAAAGGATAATAAAACCTGATAAGACAATGAATCAAGAAAATATTTAAGAACGTAATTGACCATATCTTAGAACCTTGTAGGACATTTTTCCATAGTTAACATAGGTCCATGGAATGGAAATAAGTAGATATAATCTATTATCATTTGTGATCTATACATTTTGTGAGATTCACTATTTGAATAAATAATTTATAAATTTGTCAAATGAAAAATAAACTTTATATTTTATGTGTTACTCCCCTATAATTGAATGTGAGCCTAGAATTCTCTATTAGCACTAGATGTTGAATCAAGTCAAGTCGGGTCGATTAGATTGTCGGGTCAATTAGATTGGACGATCCCAACCTAACAAAAATACGCAAAAAACTCAACTTGTGCACGTGACACGATCCATATTTAGTTATTTACACATTTAAAAATAAAAATATTAAAACAAAAAATTGGGGTGCTAGGAGTATGCCTTCTAGCCCACCTCGGCCTGCTCTATCCCTTTGCTCTTCTGAATTTCTTCTTATCATGTAAAAAAAAAAAAAAAAATAATAAATAATAATAATAATAAATAAATAAATAAATTGTAATGTAGCTCTTGACTAAGCAAATACCCTATTTGATATAGTTAAAAATTAGATTTTTAGTATATTTTAATAAAAGTTAATGAAATGTAGAACATATCATCACAAATCTTTAGCTAGTGGCGCATGAATCATCCTTTTTTCGACATGATTTGTGCCGTTGTCGGCCACAACAAGGCTAAAGTTGCATTTTCAAACCCTACATTCACCTTGGATCCAATTCTCTACTTTCTTTTCTGGAAAAGAAACTTTTTTTTTCTATATAAAATTAAACTGAGAGAATAATAGGATTAGGGTATTTTGTATTTAATTTGAAAAGACCAAATATCCATCAAATAAAGGTTGTGCTAATGAGTGCATCAAGGTAGATGTATTACATATTATAAAGTGACATCCATCGAAGATAATGACAGTTTAAGTGGACGTAGCACGTCTTACGTAGTCTTGCAAAAATTTTGTTTGCAAAAGTGATGTAATATTAGTAAAATATGTTTTAAGAAACCGAAATTTTTGAAGATGATTCAATAGCGTATATCTATTGAAAGGGTTGTCAACCAAATGAATGGACATAATATCTATCGAAAATACCGAAACTTGATTTCAAATAAATTAACTTATTTTTCTACCATAATAAGTCAATTTTTGAGTTGTCAATGTTGCAAGACAAGCTGGAGAAACAAGATTCAAACTGAGGTGATATTATGAAAATGAACGGTCATGATTGAAAAGCACATGAATAATTTTTTCCTGGAGAAAGAGGGGGAAGAGAATCCATAAATCAGTCTGGGCTGGCCCGTCAGGTGCGTGACTTGCGGCCCAATTATTAATTTTTCGAAAAGAACAAGCAATAAATAGGTGTTACTGTTTAGAGTAATGCTACAAGACCAGCGTGGATGACCGTGGGGATTTCCGCGCACACAAACATGGAGGGTGGCGATTATTTTATTAGCACGGGACTCACGTATCTCATGTGAGGATGCGATTATCGAGGGTGTCATCCATAAGGGTCAAGTGACATTTTTCTACTGTTTATTTGTTTTAATCCTTTGATAATTGATGAGGTATATCCGAATCATAATGACGTCATATTTATTTTTTGTTTGTTTTTTAACAAATACGGGTGCTATTTTCAATTGTTGAAATTGCAGTTTTTGATTGACAACTTTGTTTTAACTGACAGTGAAATTTTGTTAAGAGTACATGTGTATAAAACCATGTCATTGACTATGTTCCTGTAGCAAATATGATGAGATTAGCCCCTTGTTCATTCTCAACCCCTATTTACAAGTCAAAAATAAAAATTATTATCAATTACGTATTTTATTAATTTTTATCAAAATTTATTAAAATTTTAATTTTAATATACATCGAAGAGGGACTTATTTTCTAAAATTCATTTTTCTTCAAACTCACTTTCCATCACAAATTTCACGCGACCCATATTTTTTTATCAACTTTTTAAAAAATATACTAAAAATCTAATTTTTAACTAAACCAAATAGGGTCCAACATTAGTGTATGATCATAATTAAGAAAATATTTATTTATTCCTCCTATGTGTGTGTGTGTCTATATATATATAAAGCAATGGATACAATAAATGCAATTTGTGACTGAATATTTTTTCATCATTTTAAAGCACGCTAACTGAAGTTTTGGACAAAAACTATCGTCAAGGACACGATGTTCTAATTGGTGAAAGATAAATGATATCAATATGATAGAAAAAGGGTTAACGATTTAAATGTGACAATAAATAAAATTTTGGGAATTCTTATTTATATAATTAATAGTTATTAAATTATGTTGTTATATATTTAGGGGAAAATTGGGGGTAGGGGTCCTCAACCTTGTATATATCGTGGTAATATGTCCCCAATCTTCAAAATGAGGTCCTGAGTCCTCACCCTATTTAAATTTGTAAATCAAGATCCTCACATAGAACAGTCTACATGAATGTTAAAATTATATGCAACTTTTCACATGATTTGAAGTTGAATGACAAAACTGCCAATCCATTTAATTTCTTCTCTCCAATTCCATTAAAAGTTTCATGCAATTTTAACATTCAAATATATGAATTTTGTGAAGCAATGATCCAGATTCACAAATTTAAATAGGTTGGAGATCTAAAACCTCACTTTTGAATGTTGGTGACACAACAATATCATGTCAAATGTCGTGGGGTATAATTTGGTAAATGTTACATGTTAAGCTGCAACGTCCTTGCCCATTCTATTTGGCTAAATTTATTTATACCACAATTTAACTAAATGAGAGGTCCACAAGTTTTACTTATTGTCACATTTATATCATCAATTTTTTTATTGCATTCCTATCTTCAACATTCCACTAACTCACACGTATTCTTGATAACAATTTCTATTCAAGAATTCCTTTATGAGGGAGTAAAAAGATTTAACCCTTATATAGTGTAGCTTAAAAAATTAATAAAAATTTAAATCAAAGAAAAATTAATTTTAACTAAACGTTTCGTGGGATCTTCAACTTTTATAAACTTTTTATCGCATATTTCATTAATTTCTATTAAAATTTACTCCTCATACTTTAGAATAAGCAAAACAATAAGGAATAAAAATTTTCAATTAAATATTTGTCCATTTTTTAAAGTACAAAAACAAAATTATAGGACGAAAAATTGTCATTAAAGACAAAATTTGCTAACTAGTGAAAAGTTAAGGATAATATTCTAATAGAAAATATTTAAGGACACGAATGTAATAAAAAATAAAGACTTCTAATGCAATTATAATACATTTATAAATACAATATGTGAGATGGTAATTTCCAAGATTACCCTTCCCCGGTAGCTTCTTCCTCCTCTAGAGAATACCTTGGGGTATAAATTAAGAAACCCTACATATACATACACACCTTTTTATCTCTACACATCTATATTCTCTCTCTAGCTCATTATATATACACCCCTCTTCTCTCTGTGAGTCCCTCTTCCTCATCTTCTTCAATTCATATGCGTCGTAGAATAGAATAGGATGAACAATATACCCAAATCTTTAACAGATTCTTCTTTAACCCTTTTCATACTCGCCATCTCGGCTTCAGATCCTTGGCCATTTTCTTTTGTTTTCTTCTAATATTTCTTCTTAATTTGTATATAAACACAAATATAAAAGGGGTTTCATTCGAGTGTTTTTTTTTTTTTTTTGAATTTTTCTCTTTAATATGGGTAGTGGAGAGAAAAATAGTCATCATCTGAGTTTTCATCTACACGTGCCGCACATTCATGTCCACCACCACAGCCACGGCGGGGAAAAGAAGGAATTTAGGAACGTGCCAAAAGGTTGTCTTGCAATAACGGTGGGGCAAGGGGCTGAGCAGCAGAGGTTTATTATTCCGGTGATATACATTAACCACCCACTTTTCGTGCAGTTGCTGAAGGCGGCGGAGGAGGAATATGGATTTGATCAGAAAGGTCCGATTAATATTCCGTGTCATGTGGAGGAGTTCCGCCATGTTCAGGGCAAGATCGATGAAGAAAACTCACACCACCACTACTACCACCGCCACCATCAGTTCATGTGCTTCAAGGCTTGAAAATTGAAATCTCTAGAGGGTTAACGTAATTCGATAAGATGATTCGATCTTGAAATGAAAATTCGTGGTGTTTTTTGCTATATTATGAATGTTTATAATCCTATTTTGGAATCTGAATAAATTTGGCAATGGATTACAAAATCTTGATAATATTGTTATAATCCGTTTCTTCAATTAAGAATATTAATAAAAATATAATTTATAATTAATTCAATTATTAAATTTTTGTTGCTTAATCTTAAATCTCAACAAATTAAATGAGATCAATTATTGTATTTTTTTTGCTTAATTACGTTCTATAAAACTATTTAACCCTCTGCTTTCGAAATCAAATCTATCCATTATCCATAGAAGGGAATTCTTTCTCAGTCTTTTCCTAAATTGAGAATTCCCTTAAATATGATACAAAACGGATTTTGTTCTATCTTTGATAAAAAAATTTCTCTATAAACAATAAGAATCAGAGTTTGAAGAAGGGGAGGGATAAGGAGCCCTTATCCCGCAACAGATAGAGGAGATTCAATAACATAATTTGGGCTGAAGCTTCGTCAAATTGTTAATCTTGTTGACTCAACAACGAAATTTTGAATAAAATATCATATTCATTATTTATGGCAAATGTTCCAAGGTTAAGCGATTAGGAGGAATAGACAGAACCAATAGGGGGTTCAAATATGGGTCCCAATATAATAATTTCATCCATTTTTGTCCTTTCCTTTATCCAGGTGTGAATTTATGTGGTTGGGTGGGTGGTTAGCACATTGAATAAATTTGCTTGCTTTTTTCATGTTATTTTAATAATTATTAAAAAAATGAGAGCTATATTATCATAGAATAATATTTTTACTTTCTTTTATTCTCAAGATGAATATTTGCTTGTTTTGATTTTTCTGCATCAATTCGTTATTGGATTAGAATTCTATATAAATCCTTAACGATTAACTAAAAAGTCAAACAATAACAAATCATTTTTTACTTGTATTAACTAAAGGGATAATTGCAACTATGGTTCCAAACCTTTGGAATATTCATAAACTTTACCTTAACATTTACTTTGTGCCAACCATAGTTCAAAAATTAGCACATGGGGTCTAAATGGATGATTTTTATTAGTTTGACCATTAATTAATCCAATAAATTGACTTCGACCAATTTTAAAAGGGTAAAATGATAACTTTGAATTAAAATTAAAAAACTAACAAATAAAAAATAAAAATCCAATCACTATTTATCTTCTCCTTCCCACCTCCACTCCCTCCCAGGTCCCAAATCTTAATACCGGCTTCAATGGTAGCACAACCCACCTTTCCCACCACTCGGTCATAAGGAACCATTGAGCGAAATAGTCACCCTATTAACCAACTTGGTATGCCCAATCAAGGTGGATCTCAACTTAAAATTACTCAAATTCTAGATTTTCCTTGTCCTATCCCATGACCCAAAAATTATAATTGGGTTAAGCGTATTGGGAGAAAATTGGTGTGGAATGGATAGCGATCGTGTTGAGATTGTCCAATAATCGGTTATGGATGAGATTAGCATTCAGTTTATAAGTATGAGGGAAACTCTCACCTCTTGAATTAATTTTTGGGGTTTAGAAGGCCCAATACCACCCAACACTGGTATCAGAGCCCGATTTATCAACAAGTCTCTGGTCTAACAGTCATGAAGATACGGGTTTGTATGAAGGGGAGACATGTTTGGTCTCTCCCAAGCCCTATTGTATGAGAGGGAGACAAGTTTGGTCTCCCACAAGACCCGATGTGTGGGGAGAGATGTGTTTGATCTCCCGCAAAGCTCGATGTACGTTGGGAAGAATGTTGAGATTGTTTCACATCGGTTGTGAATGTGGTTGGTATTCAGTTTACAAATGTGAGGGAAAGTCTCACATTTTGAGTTAGCTTTTGGGTTTGAAAAGGCCCAATACCACCTAACACAATTGTTGGGTAATTGTCTCAAAAGTCAAAAGTTAGAAAACTTTTATTGCAAATAATAAAAAGTAATTATATGGAAGACTTCTAATTAAAATTGAGAGCAGAATTCTTGGAGAATTTGGTCTCCAATTTACAATCGATTTTGAAGTCTTGCACATGATGGAATCCTTCTTGAGTTAAAGGAATCTTGTTTGAGTTTAAATTAAACTCTTCTACTTGGTTATTGATCATAAAAATAGTGGATGTATTTTATTATTTTGAGTGTGGTCAGAGAGTTGATATGAGAGGAAAAATATTGTGAGCCTAGTATTTTAAGACTTTTCGTACATAGGATAGAAAAGTGGGTGTGATAAAGCTCCAGTTTATATTTTTCTTTGTAATACTTGAAGATTGGGTTAGTGAGTGAAATTTTATATGATTGTAACAATTTTTCATATAGTGAAAAGTTTTGACGGTCCATTTAATTTGTGCGTTATATTCTTTATTTTTTCTTATTTGTTAATATTCTCTTGAATAACAAAAGATATTGCGGGTAAATAGAAATAAAGGGAATTGGAGTAAAATTTTCAACAAATGGAATCAGAGTGTCAGATGGTTCGGAGTATTGGAGCAATAGAAAAATATGTCGTTGTTGAAATATGACGTGGAGAAATTTGACGGGAGAATCAATTTTGGTCTGTGACAAGTACAAGTTAGGAATTTATTGATTCAAGTTGGACTGCACAAGGCTTTGAAACGAAACAAAATTGTTCTTTGCACAAACCCATTTTTCAGTTGTGTTTGTTTTTTGGGTATTTGCAATTGTTTATGCATTGGCTTTCTTGATTTCATGTTGGAGGGTGCTGGACGTTGTGTTCAACAAGAGTATTCGTGTACGAATCAACGTGCTGCTTGCGGCCGTAACGGTGGCGCTACCAATGCAAATCATCTGCCTCGGACTATCTTGGTTGTGGCTGCCCAAGGATGACGAGTATGGTTGTGTCGTGCTAGTCATGTTCTTTTGTATCGCAACGTGCATGATGGTGGGAGAGGTTATATTGGTAATAAATCCAATCACCGATGCCTTGGCGGCTAGGTGTGAGTGTTGTCGCCGTTTCCGTGGCGGATTCGGCTGAGGAGGCCAGTGGAGCAGAGAGAACAAGTGGATCATCAAGAACCGGGTCTATAGCTATGGACTATGATCCCTTCTTCCTTCTCCAATTATGAGGGCATTGACGTGTGTCATTTCATTTCAATTTTTCTGCCCTGTGATCTCATTTGTATAACGTTTCAAATGAATCAGTACAATGTAATTAAGAAAATTTTTGTTCTAAATTTTAAAAAAAAAATAAATAAATAAATAAAATAAAATAAAAGGAGAGAGGAAAAATCTGGACTTCCGGCTTTCGTCATTGGTGGATTATTCTTAAAATATATCAATGCAATCGTTCAAATGTTGCATTTCACCAAGATTAAAATGAATTCTACTAAAATGACAATTTTGCATCATTTCGCTCTCATTTCTTAATGAGTCAAAATTAGACTTTAATCTCAACCGTACATTCAAAACTACTACTAATTATCAATGTGTTAGTGATCCCACTACAACTCCTATAAAGTAACCAAAACGTTTCCCCAATTCAAAACAATCATATCTAGATCATCATATCCTTACAAGCCAAAAAGGGAAATGAACGTGACACAACACAACCGAATCTCTCTTAGCATTCAAAGAAAACAAAATTCAATTCATATGGGCATGTGTAAAACAAGAAAAAGATGACAGAAAAAACAAAAACTGGTTAAAATTTGTCTCGAAACTAAGAAAAATGAATACCAGCCTTGTTAAACAAGGAGAGTAAGTGCATGAAATCTGCTTGTGTGAGTTTGGAAGATCTTCTTTCTTCAAAACCTCCTTGCTTTAACAAGCCTAAAACTCTTTCTTTAAAATCAGAAGCTTTTGCATCCCCATCGTCCATCTCCATATCCTCATCATCTTTACATTCGTCAGTGTCCATGCTCAAGTCACCGAGTGTGTCTCCCAAAGCAGTGACAGACGTGGCCATTTCAGTAGAATCTGATGACTCTTCACGAGAAAGCTGTGATGCTTGCAAGGTTTTATAGTTCTTCTCTAGCATTGAAAGAACACTCTTTTGCCTAAATATAGAACCAAGAGTTTTATTTTTGCGGTTAAAGCAAATCCGAACTAAACCATCCCATTCCTTAAATTTCACCACAGGAAGTGGTTTCCTTGGTTCAATCCTGACCACTGAAGAGTCAACCTTTGGCGGAGGCCTGAAGTTGTTCCTTCCCACTTTTAGCAAGTGGTTTACCCGTGCCAATAGTTGAGTGTTCACAGACAGGCGACAGTAAAGGTTATCACCAGGCTGAGCAACAAGCCTCATGGCAAATTCCCTTTGGAACATTATTACTGCACACCTGAATAATGGGCGATGAGACAATAACTTGAAAGTAAGGGGGGACGAAATTTGATATGGGATATTTGCTACGCAAATGTCGAAGTATGGAAGATCACACTTCAGTACATCTCCTTGTATAACCTGTGGGAGAAATATTACAACACATGCTCAGTTCTACTAATTATTTAGAATGACGAATAACACATTCCTGATCAGCAGCAGAATAATATTACTGAAATTAGTCATTAAAAATGTCAAAAATAAACAGATTAACACATGTTGTCTAACCTATCGATATTTTTCCAGTAACAAGAAACCATTTTGAAAACATTTAAAAGGCCATACATCTTTCGCAGAATACAAATAAGTAATATCATGAAGTGGTAAACACCAATACGGTACTCTGTGTAAAATAAATCTGGAAGAAAATGCAATACTGATTTCTAAGAGGTGGCAAACAACAATTTGGTATTTGATATCAATTTTCATCAACAAAATGTAGATGTTAATTATGATACGTACAAATTACTCAGACAATGACGAACAGCAAGTGCAACAAGGGCGGCAAGGAGTTCCACTGGGACTATTGAGGTCAATTTTCATCAACAAAATGTCAATGTCATTTTTGCCTTCACTCTTCTATAAAAATTACTCCAAGAAAGTTGAATAGCAACCATGAAAAGAGAGTTGGGAATTCCCAAGAACTATATTATCAATTTTTATCAAAAAACATCAACGTCAATTCGGCAAAAGGTCTTGGCTAACATAAGGAATCACTTCAAGAACATCACATGCAAAAAGAGGGCAAGAAATTCCA